GACGAGTTCCCCGACTATCAGATACCCGCTACTCAGCTGGTGGAAGTGCGAACGAGAAATTTCAAAATTTTCTGAAATATCGGTAAAATTTGAAAAAAATAATAAAATGGAAAATAACTCAAACATTTTTTAATAGTGTGGGCGTGAAATTTTTTTGCGATTTTTGGGCGTTAGAGTTGGCGTGACAAAAAGTATTTTGGCAAATCTATGGAAATTTACTAGATATACATATAAAAAAGTGAAAAATATCACATTTTTCAAAGTGTGGGCGTGACAGTTTTGGGCGTTTTGTGGGCGGTAGAGTGGGCGTGGAATTTTTTTTCTTGGAAAATCTATAGATATTTGCAATATACAGTAGAATCCGGATATAGCGACTTTCAAGGGACCGACGATTTGACTAAATGCGTCGTTATACCCGAAAGACAAACTAACAGAAGGGAAGAAAAAAAATTTTTTTTTTGTTTATTTTATGGTTGCCATGTTCGTAATATGTTTTAACATAAAACAAATTAATTTTTTAATCAAACAAAAAATGTAATAAATTTAATTTAAAAAATGGGTTTTTCATAGGCGCACCGGCTTCCAAGCGCCGAATAATTTTTATTTTTTCTTCGACGGAGAAGCACTTTCGTTTTAAAGACATTTTTTGGGCCTAATGCACAAGTGTCGAGCTTAAACTGAATGAGCTTACCATGTGCATTTAGTGCATTAACTCACATTTGGCGAATTTACGCATTAAGTTTTATTGGAAAAAAACAGAATAAGCTAGAAATATAACGGGACATCTCATGGAATATAGGCATGAGGTCTGCACACGCACGCTGTGCGTAGTTAATAATTTAATAATAATTTTTGTTTTGTAATTATTATTTTAAATAATTACTGTAAATTATTGTAAATGTTTTTCTGTATTTTTTTTTGGCACGTCGCAATATCCTGTTGAATTATGAAAAATCTCGTCGGTATAAGCGGTTTGTCGCTAAAAGCGGAGACGTACTAACTGGAGGTCCTTTCATATAACTTTGTATGGGGACCAACCAAGCCGTCAAGTTTCCGTCACATTAACCGGACTGACGCTATAAGTGGAGTCGTTATAAGCGGATTCTACTGTATGTCTATAAATGAAAAATTATCACATTTTTCAAAGGTGTGGCCGTGACAGTTTTGTGCGGTTTGTGGGCGTTAGAGAGGGCGTGGCAACAATTGGCAACAAACTTGCGCTGCGTCTATGTCTCTGGAAGCTGAATGCTTAATCTCAACTAGTTTGTGTAGTTCGTGAGATCGAGGCGTTCATACGGACAGACGGACGGACATGGCCAGATCGACTCGGCTATTGATCCTGATCAAGAATATAAATACTTTATATGGTCGAAAACGTTTCCTTCTGTCTGTTACATACTTTTCAGCGAATCTAGATAACCCTTTTACTCTATTTTATTATCAATAAAAGTAAACAAAGCCAACGGACACAACTCAACCATCGGATTCATAACAATTGAAATTTTTAATAATTTCAATTATAATAACTAATGGAAATTATTAATACCGACTAACATTGAACATTTTACTGAATATATTAAATACCTTAAATTGGGTTCAACAAGACTAGGAATATTTAATCCAAAACTTCTAAAGCACGACAAACTATAAAAACTTCTGCCTGGTGTAACACCGCTACCAACGAAATATTCCTAATGTCTCACATACATAATGAAAACATTATAATGAAAACATAGAAGGCAAATTTTATCTACACAATATATATGTTTTTAATACACAAACAAAGAGTATCATCAAACACGAAACCACAATTTGTACTTTCCAAAAATATCGTAAACCATTTTACATTCAATACATTAAGCCTAATATGCTTATAACATGGAATATGACCCGGCACTCAAAATTGTGACACTTAAAAGATTTTTATTGAAAATAACAAAATTATAAAAATATTCATTTGTACAGCAGAATTAAAAGACATATAATTATCAAATAATATTCAACAATACACAAACCTAATATTTACCGAACATAATGTAACAACGTTGAACCAATTTCACACATAGAAATAACAGAAATGGTTATATTAAATAATAAAAATTTAACAATCTTTAAAAATATATTAATAATCCTCTTGTTAGCATTAGCTATTATTTTCACATTTTACCTTTATATGAAATGTAAAACAGCACCTTATAACATTATAATAGACTATTCAAATCTAAGACATGTAAAAAAGTTAGAACAAATATAGGGTAATAACCCTATAAAACCCAAAATGAAATGTTTAACATACGTATAAACAAGAATGAACTCTATGGTAGAATTCTTTGACTATCACCTTTACTCAGTTAGAAAACTGTTTGAGAAAAAATAATAATAAAAAACAAAAATTAAAGATTTTCAAAAGTATTGGCGTGACAGTTTCGCACAGTTTGTGGGCGTTTGAAAGGGCGTGAGCAAGATATGTTTGGTATACCGTTGTAAATTGGCAAGGCAAATAATGAAACGCGGTTTGTGGGCGTAAAATTAAATCTTCAAGACTCGGGGGTAAGCCTGGCAGATTTGGTTACATTTGGTAAGAAAGTTGCGCTGCGTCAATGTATCTGGAATCTGCACGGTTAATCGCAAGCTTTTGTAACTAGTTCGCAACTTGTATAGTTCCCGAGATCGAGGCGGACTGCGTAGTGTACGTAGTTCGAAAGGTTTTAACTAGCCGGTCTTTTAATAGTGGATGGTAATTACTACTTAAGAGGACCTTGTACTTCCTTCGCTAGGGATGCACATTAGGCATGGGCATGGGCTCTGGTCTAGCTCGCCCGCCGTAGGTCGGGGTTATTTTAGCTTAAAATAGTACGAAACGCTACGCATTTAATAAGTGCGTCAAAACAATAATCAAAGCTTGACTATCAATTAATTAAAGAAATGGCTTTATATTGATACTGGATGCACGCAGACACGTGTGAAGAAGAGCTAAAGATTCCGATAGTTATTGTGAATTATGTTAATAATTCCCTAAGTATTTACCCTCCGTACCAATGCTACTTAAAATAAATACATTGACCCTTGGCAAAGTTCAAAATAACTCTACCCCATATTTAAGGAAATGTTAGGCAGTAAGTACTCGTCAAAACCCAGTTTATTCACGATTCATTCTTTTAAATTAATATTTAATTATAATTTCATTTTTAAAAATTTAGTTTCAGAGGCTCCATTAAATTCTCATTTACCAACTAATAAATCCTAATCTAATGTATGTATAATTCTTCTAGCCATTCTCAAACTCTTCATTTTACCCGCTACTCGTAGAGTAAAACGGTATACTAGAATTAAAAAAGATAGAATAGTTAAAAAGTATGTAACAAGCAGAAGGAAATGTTTTCGACCATATAAAGTATATATATTCTTTCTCAGGATCAATAGCCGAGTCGATCTGGCCATGTCCGTCCGTCTGTTCGTATGAACGCCTCGATCTCAGGAACTACAAAAGCTAGAATGTTGAGATTAAGTATGCAGCTTCCAGAGACATAGACTCAGCGCAACTTTATTTCCACGCCCACAAGCCGCACAAAACTGTCACGCCAATTTTGAAAAATGTTGTGATATTTATTCATTTTGGAATATATCTTGTAAATTTCTATAGATTTGCCAAAAAACCGTTTGCCACGCCCACAAACAGCCCAAAACTCTCACACCCGCACTCTTAAAAAATTTTGAAGTGTTTTTTCATTTTATTATTTTTTTCCAAATTTTTACCGATATTCCAAAAAAAGTTGAAATGTCTTCTTTTCTGAGTAACGGGTATATAGCTATATGATTTTTAAATAACTGCAGATATTATCTTTAATTTTGACGATCGAGCGGCATTTTATAGATCTTTATAATGGTATTTAAAAATAATAGGATTTAAATATACATGGTGCGCGTAAAGTTGGGCCAAGTTCACGTTGACATTACAGCTCGGTAATGGTCGAATTTTAAAAGATCCTAATATAAACCTATTCGAATGCCGAACTCCAGTAGATCTACGTTTTTAAAAAATATTTTTGGGAAATCGACTATAGTGTGCTCTCTTGTTTTAATATTTACTGCTGTGGTGTTTTTTGCGAGGTTTTTATTACTCCAATTTCTATTACAGGTAAATCTGTTCTGTTTCTATGGGTTGCAATTAGATCTACGTTCTTAATAAATATTTATGTAGCACAAGATTTATGCTTGAGAAAGATTTTGCTGGTTTAAATTCTAAGATTTCATCGTCATCTTTAGAAATATGAGACATATAGACATATGAATTAGAGATTTATCTTCAAACATTCCTACAGCTTTGTCAGATTGTTTTTAAACGTGACAAATATTTTAACTGGTAATTTTTCCGAATTTTTCAGCTAATGAGTGATACATGATCCTTGAAACTATGACTGTGTTTGATGGATTATTGTTTAAGGCTGACGAAACAGTGTGCGCGAGAAGCGAAGCGAGAAGATGGCAGAGTAGAGCTTTGCGAAAAACGAGCTACATTGCTCTTTTTTAGGGATTAATGTGAACGTGAACGAATTTTTTGCATCAAGGGCACTTATTAACTTTCTGTTAAAAAAAAAACTGGCGTCCACAACTGCAAAAGAAATGAAAAAGGAGAATCCAATAATTTATAATATACCACCCAGATAATTTCTTTAACTATGCGCTATTTCGACTTTTGATTATATGGGCAATTCCACGCGAAGGTCAACCACGATCAAAAAAATAAAACTGGTTGGATGCTCTTGGTTTTGATATATTGCCAAAGAAAATTGTCCAAATTTAAGTATTTAAAAATAAAACCCGATTTTTCTAAACACTTTTTAAATTATTGGGCGGTAAAATGGTGCATATATGCAAATATATTGCATTTTTGCGTATTTCTATAGCACGATTTGTTTTGGTTTTACTTCGTCAACAAAGATGTTAAGAACAAAAATGTTCTCTCTCAAATAACGGTGTAAGTATAAAGAACAGTGCAAAAATTGCTAGCTGAATAATTCGGTAAAGATAACAGTAAGATTTTTTGCATTTGCATTATCTCTTTTTCTAATGTCCAATGCGACATCAAAACCGTTACTTGTTATCAGTGCTCCGAAACTACTGGCAGTAAATGCACAAAATTGAGTAACTAAAATTTTTGACCGGCTTTGCAGAAAACCAAAACTTACTGTAAAAAAGTTGTGATTTTTAATTTTATAAACAATTGAAATTGATCTCGTGCGACATCGTATGTTTAAAAAAAAAAAAAATTTATAAACGTATATTTAGTTTAAATAATATTATTTTAGATGACGGAAAACAATAAAAACAATTGCAAGCGATGGAGGGAAAATTTGAAGAAGATGAAAATAATAAAAGAACGCAGGAGGCGAGAAAGAAGGAAAAAGTTATAGAAGAAAATAACCTAAAATTTATGGGAGAGAGACGGCACATTGAGCGGATTCGAAAAGAGAACCAAACCAAAAAAATTAGCAAAATTAAAAAAGGCGAAACAATTAGATCCGAGCCTTACAGTTGCAAGCAAGCGTTGGCAAAAGCTATTTGTGGAGAAGAAGCTTCCAAAAGACTTAAACAGAGAGATAAAAGTTGTTGAGTCTTTATATAAAAAATATGTGGAGCCCACTAAATAAAAGGAGCCTAATCACACTGTCAGCAAAGCATTGCCAGAAAATGTTTCGACCGTTAAACAGTTTTATGTTAACGATTCAATTGGTGTGCAAGCTTCGGGAAAGAAGAACACAATTTTGGTTGAGGGGCTATTCGTGGGCTATTCAAAATTTCAAGGGATTATTTTCGAAAATATATATTTTTTCCGATGGATGCTGCTCTCAGTTTAAAAACAAGTAGCCTAAACGGTTTTGGCGTTAATTGAATGGAATTTTTTGACGAACACAGACGAACAGCACACGGAAAGGAAGCCGTCGATGGAGTTGGCGCCATAGTGAAAAGGAAAGTTAGGCAACTAAGGCCAAAAAATTAGTTATTCAAAATGCCTTTGCCTTTTATCAATGCGAAATAGAGAGCAATGCCTTTTGCGCAAGTTAAATGAAAAATGGGAAAATATAAAAAGTTGTCGGGGCATTTCAAAATTGCCTTATTTTTATTACAATGGCAAAACAATAAAAACCGCTAGGACTGCATATTCCGAAAAGAAAAAACTTATTTAATCGTTTTGCACATATTAGTATATGTATATATTATATGATGTAAGTTTGTCATTTTGAACACACCAACAATGCACACACATTTACACAATAAATTGTTGACATTATATAAATACATAATAAATAAACTTGTTTCATTTTATTACATAACTATGAATTAGAAAATAAATGAGGATGTAAAAAAAAATCAAAAAATTATGATGTTCCGTGCGACCGTCCCGTGCGAAAGTGATACAAAGTCAATTTAAAAAAAAAGCACACGATATTTTTTCTTTAAGACAAAAACAATAATAAGATAAATCATGGCACAACATTTTAAAATTATACCACCCAAAACTGTCACGCCGAAATTTTAAAAAAATTTTGAATTTTTTTTCATTTTATTTTTTTCCCAATTTCTGCCGATATTCCAGACAATGTTCCCGTTACTAGCTGAGTAACGGGAATCTGATAGTCGGAGAACTCGACTATAGCATTCTCTCTTGTTTTAAAGATTAAAGATTAATTTACACATATCTACTTAGATTATTTCTATAAATGCTGAGTGCAGCCTGTCGCACTGTAAAATCTGTCAACTCTAGGCCATTTAACTAACCATATTTTTTCTAGGTTTTCCAAAAAAGATTCAACAATTTTAATGAAATGGTCGAAGCTAAATATTATGAAGATTTTGTGGCGAGCAGTTCATCACTGTTTGTATGCCAAGATTATTTCATTTTGCGGCTTCAGGGCGTTAGAATGCCCGTGGCTACATTTGCGCTGCGTTAATGTATATGGAATCTACATGCTTAATCTCAAGCTTTTTAACTTTTATAGTTTCTGAGATCGAGGCGGACTGACGGACGAACAGACTGATATGGCCAGATCACTTGGTCACTTGGCTAGTGACCCTATCAATAATTTGTATACTTTTTATGGTCGGAAGCATTTACGCCTACCTTTTACATACTTTTCAAGCAAATCTGGTGTACCCTTTTACCAAAGACATTTTTATAAGCTTTGCGTATACCTTATCTACTACAATGCAGCCAAAGTTCCTGCGGACCGAGGACATGGATAAAGTCTGTAAAATCGCCGTAATGGAAATCAAAGCAATCCCTCCAAAGAAAAAGCAATGAATATGCAAACGGCAGAGAGTGAGAACGTCGCTGAATAATTAAAATCGAGCTGGATACCGTTTTTAAACCAGCGGGTGTGAGATCTTCTTTGGCCGGATTAGGGGTACCGGCAAACACTTTACGGCGTACAATTAAGTGCGGCTCGTAATCGGTCTGTCGTAATTATAGCGACGCGCCGCGTATTTATCTAGAGCAATTAACGCCGAGTCATGGAGGGCCAAGTCGTATATTTTACATCACCAAAGATGGGCTATTGGACCAGACGCTTTTTAACTTTAATTAAAACGACATAAAGGCAAATACATTAAGCGAAAAGGAATATTACATAGTTTATTACAATTTATGTTCCTGGATTTTGCACCACAATAATGATGTAGTTCTCGGAGGGCAGCACAATCACTTCATGCACCTTGGTTCGTAGACGTATTGTCATTAGCTCATTGCTAGCATCTAAATTAGTAATCATTTTGGCCGCCTTATAAGTCAAGGTGCTGATCAATGCCGCGTAATGCACGGTCAAGGTGTATTCCATGGTAGTCTTGATTGGTATAGCGAACGGGTCCAAAATAATTATGCCAGCAACATTGGGATAGTTTTGGTAGCGTTTTAGTAATTCCTCGATTTCCGCGGACATTTTGAGCACAGCATATACTTTTATATAGAATTTAATTGTAGAGCTGATGAATGTACTTAGATGTGAGTTTTGATTTATCGCATACTTAGGTGAACGCCTTTACGACTTTATGCTTTATAAATACAGTTTTCAGGCAGTTAAATAAAATAATATAAATTTAACAAGAGAGACTGTCACAGTCGAGTTCCCCAACTATCGGGTACCCGTTACTCAGCTAGTACAAGTGCGAACGAGAAATTTAAACTTTATCTAGAATATCGGTAGAAATTTGAAAAAAGGACATATTTATGTATATATAATGTGAAAAAACTGAACATTTTTTTAAAGCTGTCGGATTGGGAGTTTTGGCCGGTTTGTGGGCGTTAGAAATCGATAGAAATTTGCAAAAGTAACAAAACACTGAAAGAGTTTAAAAACACTTTTCTAAAGTGTAAGCTTGGCATTTTTGGGCGGTTTGTGTGCTAGAGTGGGCGTAGCAACATCAGTTAACAAGCTTACAAATGACAAATCTCAACTTTCTAGCGTTAATACGAACGGACAGACAGACGGGCGTACAGACGGTCAAAGCAAGATCGAATTCGCTATTGATCCTGATAAAGAACATTTGATATAAACCGCAAGCTTGGCTTGAAACATACTAATTTATAGTTACATTTGAACGTTTGAAACCCTGAAGCTTAAACTGATAATAATACACCACGGATAAGGTGTTTTACAATTATACACACGCCACCGAAACTTGATTTGTTTAAATATTACGATCAACATTTTCTCCCACAAATTCCTTTTACACGCTTTCAAGAAAAAACACATTTTGGGAAGAAACTAGGTAGAATGCCATAGTCGACTTTCCCGGCTATCAGATACCCGTTACTCAGCTAGTGGAAGCTCTAACGAGAAATTTCAAAATTTTCTGGAATATCGGTAGAAATTGGGCAAAAAATAATAAAATTAAAACTAACTTAAAAAATTTTTAAAAGTGTGGGTGTGAGAGTTTAGAGCGATTTTTGGGCAATTTTGGGCGGCAAGTGCGGTTTTTTTTGGCAATATTTGCAAGAAAATGAAAAAATGAAATAATATCACATTTTTCATAAATGTGGTCGTGACAGTTTTGGGCGTGGAAAATTTCTATAGAAATTAACAAAAGTGAAAGTTAAAAAGTGAAAAAATATAAAAAAAAAACAATTTTCAAAATTGTGAGCATGTCAGTTTTTTGCCGTTTGTGGGCGTTAGAGTGGGCGTCAAATCAGTGGTCTGTTATTTGGTGTTCAGGAGGAATATTTTATTTTATTAATTTTTTTTGTTTTCGAATTTTTTTGGTAACAATTGGGCTGGACCCTATTGCGTATGAATGTTTATATCGAGTCGATTTGAGTAACACCTATAGCTGGCTCTGGTCTTATGTTATTGACAAAGGGAATAATGGGTATCTCGGGATATACTGGTTGTTAATAGGGTTTGGTGTCTAAGGCACTCGCCCGTCCTTTAGAAGATTCAACATCCTTGTTGAATTTAGCAAAACCATATTTTTTGTTTGCTAGGCGCCTATAGGTAAATATGATGTAAGTGGCGATGCCTAAAATTATAATCCTAATATTGTGAATGAAATTAACTTATAAATTGATTCCTGTTTTTGCTGATTGGTAATAGATTTTTCGTATTAACAGTCGTATTGGTGCATATAAATTTACATTTTTTTTATTAGTCTTGATTAGCCACGCCCTCATTTTTGAACAATCTTTTAATTTTATTCTTTTAATTGTTGGTTTTCCCTTTTCTATGGATATGCAAGAATGTGAAAATTTCTCGTTCGCACTTCCACTCACCTGAGTAACAAGGAACTTGACTATAGCATTCTATCTTGTTTTTAAGTTTTATTTGTTGTATTTAGACAAAATTCGTTCGAAAAGATTAGATAGCTTCTAAAAAGGATTTTTCAGATCATCGTTCAGATTTTATGTGCGAAGGAAATTTAGCTATTTATACCTTATTCCCACAAAACTAGCGGGTATTTTCAAAGTTGGTAGAACTAAAGTCCCACAAACCAAGCAATTAAACAGAAAAAAATATTTTTTCTTTAACGTTTTGTTGTGGACTATCAACGCATACTTTTTCTTGTGCCATGAATTTGTACCTTTTTAATTTCTATAAAATAAGTTAAGTACTTAAAGCTAAGAAAGCCTTCTAATATTATTAATAATAAATGTGTTTATAACGTAAAAAAGAAATGAAGTCTATATAATTTATATAAATATACTTTTTTTGACATCAAAGTTATGCATTAAAGTGTGTACGCACACTTTTTCTGGCAAGTGTATATGCATAATTTAGGATAAGAAGAAATCTCTGTTTTTAATCTCAAGAAAATCTATACGTTTTGTGAGCATTCATTTATTTGGATTTGGACAAAGCAGTCAGTTCACTAATTGTTTCCTTAACCTTTAATTATATTTGCTAAATTATTAGGGCTAAACATTGCAATGAGCTTTGTCAAGCCGAAGCTTATTGAAGTAAAATTATTTAGAAAACAAAACAATTGTACACCCCAAAATAATAAATTATGATTGAAAACAACGAAACGGATAGACGGACATAACTATATAGTGCCATATTCACATATCTAGTACTGTTCGAATATATAAGAATATGCTGAGTAGGCGCAATCCACATTAAATATAAACAACCACATCCGGAGTAATCGATGCCGCTCTCCTTACAGGCACTCCAAATCTTTCGTTATTGTATACAACCAATACTATAAGCGGTATAGCTCGGTCCCATACTTAATGTAAACAAAAGGGCAGCGCAAGAAATATTTTTGTCGCAAGAGTTAGTCTTAAGCTGAGATTTAATCAATAAAGACGTGAACCTATATTATTGATATTTTTATTATTTTATTTCTTAGCGTTGTACGGTACATTTGTACGACTCTGTTTAACTTTAAACATATCACTATATATATGTAAATGTACTTTATATAAATATCAGACTGATATCAAGGGTATAAAAAGATCCACCGTAAAAGCATTTTCGTTAAAACATTATTTCGATTAGAGTTTCAGGCTAAGGCAGCCAAATGAAGTTATTCATAAAATTGTATATCTTTTAGAATATACTCTTTTACCAAAAGAGCAGCGACATTATATATCTATGATTACAGATAACAATCTACAATACAGATTCTCTTAATAACTATGTTACAGCCTTACTGCTTTCCAACGGCGAATGGAGCTCTGGAGGAGGTCTTCACGTAGAATATTCCTTCTTTATAAGTCGAAGGCTCACCTGCCATCTGGATGGACTGTCGCTGGCTCTGGTCGCACTGCCACCTACCATTCTCTCGGACGCAAGGTGTCCCCCAGAATCCCAAAGCTGAATTGATGGACTCGGCGAACATCTGATATGATCGAATATGGGAGCATCCTAGGTAGTAGCAACTAAGCTGATAGGCTCCATAGTTTGGATAAAAGGTGGCACTGCCTGTAGGTCGTCGAAATCCAAAGTTAGCACTCGTATGCATGGACTCCACAAACTTTGCATCGCTGGGATCTATCCGAAACTCGGTTCCGCGATGACGAAACTTTGGACCTGCGGGATCCAAAGCAAATATTGTATTTACTTGATTCGGATTCAAACGTTTCCCGGCAGAGCCAGCTATCTGTGCTCCCAAGGAATGACCAATAAGATATATGCTGTCGAAGTCAGCTCCAAACTGCCGATGAAGGTCCCTTATGAATTGTGCCAACTGAGCTCCAAAGGTCTCTATTAGCTTTACCACCGAAAAGTAGTTTATATTGGCTGAACTTGCGCTCCAATCGGCAACGATCACATTGTACTCCCCTTTCTTCAGGTATGCATTCTTGACATCCCGATTGAAAGAACCACGCGACTGGCTCATCCAACCATGTATCATCAATCTTGTGGGCAGAGAAGCATTAAAGCCACAGTGTCTCCATTTGCGCTCGATTGAGAAATTAACCTCTCTGCCACACTTGGGAAACTCCCTGTTAAAGAGGTAGAAGTGCATGCGAAGATTCTTGCTGCCAAATGGATTCAGGTTACTTGCTATCTTCTTTATAAATTGTAGGTCCAGAAACTTTCCGATTCCTCGCGATTCGCTCAGATCCTTGTCACACGTGTTCCAGGCGTAATGCTTAGCCCCCTCATACTCATCATCCAGGCTTGCCAAAATATCATCCTCTGCCGCTTCCGCTGAGATATCTGATCGCTGGCCTATGCCGTAGGGAGTATCATCGAGGTTCGGTAGAGCGTTCATGAATTCGCTCATCTCGACATCGTAATCGCCACTGACTCCATTTGCTGTGGGTATGCTTTTACCTAATGCTATTAAAGCTTTATTTAGAGGCGCCACAATTCTTTGCCAAGTTAAATAAACTCACATATTGAAGCCACAGACAGCCAAAATGAAAATAGATGTGTCCGCATTATTAGTAAATTTATGGAACCCGATGCAGCTATATAAGCTTCCAATCCAAATGGCATTTGCACTTTGTGGATCTGTTCGATCAGGCGAAGTGGTTTTATATGCTTCCGTCAGAACAACATTATAGCGCGATGCATTCTGGGTTTTGTTAGATTAGCTTTCCAGATAGCCTCAGTACGTCATAGGTGGCAAACGCCAAGTAATTGAAATGCTCAAGTGACTCAGATCGGTAGCGCGCGCGAACAGAGGAGTAGTTGCAATAGAGTGTCAATTCAGGGGGTAGCAAAGGGAAGAAGCAAAAAGTTTTCCGATTTATATTGCCCGCTTGATGAAAGCCTCTGCAATGTTTTCATAAGGGCAAAATAATAATAATAAATAAAAGTTTAGGTGACATCGGTTTCACCAAAAAAGTAAACAGATGAAAAAAGAACATTTTTCAAGGCAATACTAGCACACAAAATACACATATAAACATTACGCATATATATATATATATATATATATCTATATTTATTAGACCGGAGGTAAGAAAAATCCCATAGGTCAGCCCCTGAGTAAAATTTGCCCATCTAATGCCTGGCGTTGCCCGTACTCTGATACAGACACGCGTTCATTCCTGCTAAAACGTGTTTAGTTTAAATGACCGGTTCTATATTAACCTTATGCACCAAGTTGTAACTGTAACAGACATAAAAGGCATGGGAAATTCTCGCAGTTCACCGGAAAGTGGTTAAACGCTTTATCTACCTCTGATCATAATTATCAATTTGGAGTTTACCAATTATTGAATTTATTTATTTGTGTAGAGGTAAGTTACAAAGTGAATTTATAACTTAACTTAAAGCTATTGCACTGGCTGCAAAGGTCTTTGGCTAGGAGGTTTTTAATCGTAGATAGTTGTGTTTATATAATATAATTCTGAATAAATAAGTTCTAAATAAGTTTTATTTTGTGGAACATTAATAATTTAATATACATATTCATTAATCATTTTAATATGTTTGAGTTTGTTGGGTTGGTAAGGAGCGTTAGGGCGGTGTCGTTCTAAAAAATTTAGAGCGTTGCTTAGTAAGAAATAGGGATGGGCAGTCTATTAAGATATGTTCTAATGTTATTGTATTGTGTTGGCAGTATGTACAAATGTACATATTGTAATGTAATGTTCGTGGGTAATTTTAGTATGTCCAAGTCAGTCTAATAAATTTGGTTTGAATGTTTCTTGGAATTGTATCATGTTGTATATATTTTATATAGTCAGAGTCAGAACAAATTACAAATTTACCTGGTTTAGTTTTAATAAGTTGGATAGCTTCGTAAATTGCTTTAATTTCAGCAGAATAAATTGAAGATAAATTTTGAAGTAAACCTATTTTTAAAGTTTGTTCTTTCGTAGTAATAGAAAAGGAAGTGGAGTGTTGTGTTTTTGAACCATCTGTGTATATAAAAGTATGATTGGAAAATTGATTGTTAATGAAAATAAACTTTTTTGAAAAGATTATTGCATTGGTGTTTTGTGTATTAAGATTGGAAAGCTCCATGTTAATTGTATGCCTGTTAAGTTTCCAAGGAGGTTTTTTGGGTGACATTTCAGGAGGTTGATAGAGTTTAATGCCTAGATCGCGGCAAAAGTTTACTCCTCTATTTATAGCTGATAGGAATTTAGTTTTAGTATTATTAAATCGCTTGTTTTTCAATTTCCTTACTATTAAGTTTAATGGCGATTCTTTAGAAAAATATATGTTTTTAATTAGTTTTGCTTGTAGGAAATTTCTACGTTCGACTACTGTGTTTATTCCGGATTCCATTAAAATATTGTTAATAGGGGTTGATGGAAATGCTCCTAGGTCTATTCTGATTGTATTATTTAACATAGTTTTTATTCTTTTCAGTTGTGCATGTGCTGCATTGCCATAGATGCAAAGACTATAATCGATTTTAGATATAATTATTGATTTGATCCTCAATATCCATTATTGAGGGGTATGTGCGGAAATTAAATTTATGACTTGAAAGACATCTAATTATATTTAATGATTTCGATAGTGAAAAAGACAGTTATTCTATATGTTTTTGGACCAATTATATTTGGTATCAAATGTTAATCCAAGTATTAGTTGTAGATAGTTGTTTGTTGAAATTTTGCATTGGCAATTACGTTTCCTACAAATGTGTAGGTGCTTGCATTCAATATATTAGCGAGAGATGACCCCGTAGTAGAGCACCATCAATGATTTTTTCGAAAAAATATGATCTAAGTTTGCTGTGTGTTGACGTTGGTTTTGGTTAAATTTCACGAGAATACGAAAATCGTCTGCGTAGCCTACAAATGTAAGATTTCTTTGAATTTTTATTAAATTAGGCAGTTTATAATAAACTATAAGAAAAAGACTTACTGATATAGGGGATCCCTGGGGTATCCCGTTGTCTAATGGAAATGAGTGCGAAATATGATTAGCAATGCGGCTTTTGATTTTCCTGTTTTTCATAAAGTTCATAACAGATAACAGATAATCTCAGAATGTTATTTTAGCATGTATTCCGATCTTATCGAAAGCTTTATTATGAGATGATCTATGCAAGCCAGATTATCTAAAACGGACCTCCCTCTCTTAAAACCTACTTGGTTTATGTGTATAAGTTTGTTTGTTGTTACAAACCACCATAACCATTTGGCTATGATTTTGTCCAGTATTTTGGCGACACAAGGGTTTAGACTGATTGGTCTATATGGGGTGATTGAGGTTTTGTCTGAGTTTGGTTTGACAATAGGAATTACTAAGCTAGTTTTATATTGTTGTGGAATACGACTATGAAAAATGTTGTTGAAATGTTTAAGTAGGCGTGTTTTCACAGCTATCGAGGCATTAGCTATCATTGGATAAGAAATTCGGTCGATTCCAGGTGTGTGACCTTTTAGGCTAGATATTGCGAAGTCTAATTCAGTTTGGGAGATGTCAGATTCGATTTGTTGTGCTGAGCGGGAAGGACATGCTATGTATGGATATGTTTTGCTGTATTTGTTATTAATAAATGTAGGAGACAATTAAGATCATTGGATTGGTTGGACCAGTAATTTGCGAATGTGTTGGCTATTGTATTGTCGTTGCAGATAGGAGAGGATGATTCAATTTATAACATGGATGTGTTTTCTATTGTGCAGACCACAAAATGTCCTAATATTGGCCCAAATGTTCCTAGAGGTTGATTGCGGACTAATGGTTGAGGTAAATTGTTTGCCAGATTCTTTTTTGGCTATTTTGAGTTTTTTTTTAAATTTAGCTGCAGTCTTACGAAAATTGATAATGTTCTCATTGGTAATGAATTTTTTTAATTTGTTTGCCGCTTGTTTTTTCTCGCGATTGAGAGCTTGTAATTTTGGATTCCACCATGGAACGTTTTTATTATTTTTAATTATTGCAGGTTGCGGAATGGTATAATATAAATATATATATAAATATATAAATATATATATAAATATATCTGGAGAACAGAAGGAGACGTCGATGTGGGTATACGTATAATGAGTAGAAAAATGAGTGGGAGATTGATCGTTTAAAACAATAAAGTTAGAATTATTAATAAATTCGTAAGTGTTTTACCCCTCTGGTTGTTTTTGGGGGAACCCCATAAGGAACCCCAGCTGTGAAAATCACCCAATATTAGCATGTTAGAGTTAGTATTAATAACATTAAGTAAGTTAGATTCTGTGAATGATTTAGTCGGTGGTATGTATGCAGAAATTATTTTCAGCTTTTTAATAGAGTGTGCTTCAATTCCAGTGGCGTCAAAGTCATTTGGTAAAGCAATTGAATAGTTTTGGATAGACTTGTGTATTAATATTGCTGCGCCTCCTTAATTTGGCGAATAGTTCGAATAAAGGGTGTAGTTAATAGGGATGGGTATATTGTTTAGAGAATGGAGGTGGGTTTCCTGTAGGGCTATAATTTGAGGGTGATATTTTAAAAATAATAATTTGTAGTTTACTGTAATAGTTTATATAGCCTCTGATATTCCATTGAATAATAATAAGGGACATAGTTAGTTTAAAGAAGAGATATGGTTAACGATAGTTATTGTACAGAGTGGTATTTTTACAGTGATTTTGTTTGTATATATATTATTTCGATGTGTTCTCGGCCGACTGACTGAGGTGCCCATCTTTCCAACTAAGTTGTGTAGGATGCACTCCCCAGTCAGCCGGCCGGTAACACAGGATTAGAAAAAAATTATTTTAGACACTCCATATTATCGGAGCTGTCTATAGAATAGTCCTCAGACATAAATTTTAATAATTTTTCAAATTTGTTTTGCGTTTTTAAAATTTTTTGTTATCTTTTAGATAATGAACGAGGTACGACTTGAACTTTAGATTTTATAGAATTTGGTTTTGTGTTTGCTCCAGTAGGAGCAATTGTAACGAGATCATTCAAATCGCTATAGTCAATGAGTTTGGGGTTTTGCTATGCTAATGTTGACTTAATGGCAACAGAAGTTGATGGTTCTGGTAAATTATTTTTATTTGAGATTGTTTGTAGTATTTTTAGATATTTCAGAGTATGTTGGGCGGTTAGTTGAATGATTTTTTTTATATATGTATATCATATGCCGTTTTATTGTCAACTTGCATGCTAGTCTTAATCGCTATAATTTCTTGTTGTTTAATGTATATAGAGCATTTCTTATCATTTGAAGTGTGAGTATACCTAGCTATCTTAGATGTTTTACAATTAATACAATTAATATCTTTTTGACCATTTTAATTTATTTCGTCATTTAACTTACTTACTTACACGCTTTAAGAGTATGTCCAAAACGGTAGCAGTTGTTGCATCGTAGAGGGGTTTGAATGTACGGACGAATTACAGCTAAGATGTTAAGATATGTAAACCAGTTTCCGACAATGATCCGTCAATATTGCTCATTATTTTTTTGACGCTGGAGACATTTTGCGGAATGAGCTCTGTTTGTATTATTTCTTCAGTGATAACTCCCTTACATGAGTTAAGCGTGCGATGCTCAGAGCCAGTAACTGGGATATCATTGGTGAAGTTGGACATCTTAAGTAGTTTATCGGCTTGAATAGTGTTTTTATTTTTAACCAGAAGGTCACCACTTTGTAGTGCGCGGCAGAATATAACTTCGCCATCACAAGTATAGTCTATGTTGTTTTTAAAGGCAAATGGAGATAATTTGTATTGTTTATCCGTATCATTATTTCTTAAAATGACAATGTACTTGGAACTTATTGAATTCGTTGATTGTTTTTGGCTTAGCAAATTTGTCCACGTTGCCTTTTGGCGATTGGTGGGACCCCTCTCACCCATCGTATCGCGATCTACAGTTATTTTGTTTTAACTTTACTTTGCTTCACTTGTTTCTTTGTTTGCACAGTCAAGTAGAGAGCTTAACTGTAAACACTGATAAGCAGATATTGTTTTGTGACACTTGTGGGGGCTAGTGAAAAAGACGACTGTTCACCTTGAGATCACAATTAAAACTGCAATTTTTGAATATTATAAAGGATATATATACTTATCACCGTCGGATTGCAAGCCAATATCAATTACATTTATATCAAGAATATAGTTGCATTGTTTATTTAGCATATTTCATAACATTGTTTTTGTAAATTGTAATATACAGATAACACGAAAGTAAAAGGGCCGTCAATGTTTTGCAAAGGTAGTTTTCAATCTGATAAATTGGAACCTTTAGACCAACAAGCAGTTTAGAGTACCGCCGCATATGGCGATTGCCGCAAAATCAATTCTTTGTACATGTTTTGGAGGAAAACGGGAGCGAACGTAGGAGACAAAGCGAACTTCTCCGGAGTTAATCTTAAAGCTTATTAAAGGACATCGAACCCTATAGACTTCACATAGACTTAAGTTTCCAATTGTGTATGCTAATCAGTGAATAATTTTTTTCTATTATAGCTTAAAATTAAAGTCTGTTATCGTGAAAGCTGGTTATATGATCTAAGTACTGGTAAAATCCAACAAGAAAGAACGATACAATCGTGTGCGACTTTAAGATACCCGTTATTCACCTAATCCATTTTAAAATAAATATTGAATATACTCGAATTGATTTGAGTAACACCTATAGCTGGCTCTGGTCTTATGTTATTGACAAGGGAAATAATGGGTATCTCGGGATATACTGGTTGTTAATTGCGTTTGGTGTATAAGGCACTTACCCGTCCTTTAGAAGATTCAACATCCTTGTTGAATTTAGCAATACCATCTTTTTTGTTTGCTAGGCGCCTATAGGTAAATATGATGTAAGTGGCGATGCCTAAAATTATAACTCTTAATATTGTCAATGAAATTAACTTATAAACTGATTCCCGTTTTTGCTGATGGGTAATAAATATTTTCGTTTTAACAGTCGTATTGGTGCATATAAATTTACATTCGCGCTGAATAATATAATTATACCCGTTACTTGTAGAGAAAAGGGTATACTAGATTCGTTGAAAAGTATGTAACAGGCAGAAGGAAGCGTTTCCGACCATATAAAGTATATATATTCTTGATAAGGATCAATAGCCGAGTCGATCTGGTCCTCTGGCCGTCCGTATGAAAGTCGAGATCTAAAGAACTTTAAAAGAAATAAAGTTGAAAGTGGGCATGCATATTCCAGAGACATAGACGCAGCGCAAGTTTATTAAAGGATATTGCCGCGCCCAATCGAAGGCCGACAAACCGCCGAAAACTGCCAAGGTCACACCATTGCAAAGTGTTTTTATATTCTTTTATTAGCTTTATCAATTTCTATCGATTTACCAAAAATATTTCTGCCTCGCTCACTCTTCAGCCACAAACCACCCAAAATTTTTGTGTTTTTTCAGGCACCCAAAAAATAAAAAAATTTTAAATTTTTCTTAGACAGTGATGTTCATATTCTACCGGCATTTGAATTGGATTAATTGAGAATAGTAAATTGCCAAGGTCGGAATCTGGGTTGGTTAATTTAATGGTTGTATGTGTAAGGGATTGTTTCTATCTTCCTTAAATTTACTTCTTCGTCATTAGATGAATTGATTAGGCGGATTTTTTCATTTATTGTTTTATGTAGTCTTTCGACGTCTGCTACAACGTGTTTTGCCGTGTTGAGTTGCAATTCGGTTCCTTCTGCTTCAAGCCATCGCTTTAAGGTTAAGCTGGAGAAAGCTCCGTATCTGTATGGCTTTAGTAATTTGGGTTTACCTAGCTGATTAAAAATGCGCATTAATGTGTTCCTGCATTCTATCCAGTCCTTTATTTTAGTTTGCTCAAGTGTAGCGAACTTAGAATAAATGTCAATGCAACTAATGTAATGTTTTCCCTCAGATGACTAGATATCTACCACAAATTTGTCTCGGCAATGTTCAGGATTAGGTGTGATTTTAAAAGGCATTTTGGTGTTTCTATGTTTTGTTTTAGCCAAATTACATATGGTGCATTCGTTGATTATATTCTGAATTAGTATTTGGCTATTGGGAAAGAAGTGATTTTCATTAAATAATTTTGTCATTTTCTGTATACCTGGATGTAAGAGTCTTTCATGTGATTGATGTAGAATTTCTTTGAACTCGGCGTATGAACTAAAATTCTTTAATAGAAAAAGACTGCGAATTACTGTAATGTAGGTGGTATTAATAATTTCTCTGCGTGCTCTTTAAATAACTTGGCTTTTTGTTTGGCTTTTCAAGTGTCATGGCATCATATTGAATTGTTATAATGGAGTTACCGAATAGCATTCAACTCTACTCTTCAGCTCTACTTTTTATTTATCGGATTTAATGCAAATTAATTGTTTTTGAAATAGTTTATTGGTTTTTCTGTTAAATGAATAAGGTAGCTATTGTCTCCTTGCACTATGTTGAGTAACTTAATTATGATTATTTTCTTAAATTTGAATTCTTGATAATGCATCTGGAACTGAATTTTCCTTTCCTTGAATATTGTCGATTTTAAATTAGTATTCGTTTAATTTAGCTATCCATATTTGTAACTTAGCATTCGGTTCCTTTAAGGTATGCAGCCATCACTAGCAATGATAAACTGTCGTCCTAGTAAATAATGTCGCATAGTTTTAGGGCCCAAACTCCGTTTTTAAACTCTATGCTTAAAGTGCATTTTTCGTCTTAATCGGGTAGTTGGAGAATTGGTTCTCTAATTATTAAAGCTTTACGTTTTTGAATCCTTCTATGTAGTCAAGATTTGGTGCATCTACCTTTGCTCCTTTTTTGCTAAGTCTGTGTAGTTTGGTATAAATTTACGATAATAACCTTCTAATCCAAGGAAAGCTCTGATTTCGTTTCCCTTTTTTGGAATGGGATATTCATTTATGGCTTTATCTTTAAGAGGGTTTGGTTTTATATCATTAGGGGTTACGATTTGACCTAGAAAACTAGCTTCTTTTTTAAAAAATATACATTTACTTAGCTGCAATTTTGAATTAGCTTCTGCAAGCTAATTATAATTTATAATTTATAATTTATAATTTATAATTTATAATTTATAATTTATAATTTATAATTTATAATTTATAATTTATAATTTATAATTTATAATTTATAATTTATAATTTATAATTTATAATTTATAATTTATAATTTATAATTTATAATTTATAATTTATAATTTATAATTTATAATTTATAATTTATAATTTATAATTTATAATTTATAATTTATAATTTATAATTTATAATTTATAATTTATAATTACCGAATCATTTAGCCTGTTTCAATTAGTTGTTTCTGAATTTTATCATTGAGCTTGTTGTTATCGTTCAATTTGGCTGTGTGAATGGGTCGCATAATTTTCTTTGCACAAATGATTTTAAGCTGCTGCCGGCGGTATTTTTACCTTTTCACCATATGGTAACACTGCCCTGGCCGCAAAAGGAATGGATTTTCGAGAACTAGATAAATTAAACTGGCGTTTGCATCTGAGTAACAATAACAATATCGTTAATTACAGTGCGACGCAGTACCACGGTCCTGATGCGGCTGATGAGGGACGTTCGGTGCTCTTACTCAGCCAAGTCAATTGTGGGACCAGTGTAAAGACAATGGGCACAAACCAAAAACGAGCAGCAACATCAGCGCGTGCCGTAGCCGTAGATGAGCAGGTCGATGGAACCGGGGCAGATGGCGAGGCCAAGACAGGAGCGACCGTGGCCTCAGAGGGTGGTGATAAGGCGAGTGACCGCCGCTGTAGTCACAGAAAGTTATCCTCAACAAGCTTTCTTTCTGTTTATCTTTTAAACAGATGGAGAGTGCTGCCTACTGCGAACTTGACGTGGCAAGCTACGGACTTGCAGCAGCTGAACACTCATCCTTGGAAGCCGCCGCTTGTGGCTATAATTCTAGCCGCACCTCCATAAACAACTCGACGGAAGACCTGAGCTATGCCAGTGACAATTTTTATGGTGACGATTTAATTTTGCTGGACGACAACGACGTGAACGCGGAGGAGATATCTATCAACTCTGACGACTGCGTCTACGCTTATCGTGGCGAAGGGTCTGATTTTGACATGAACATGGAGATCATCGCCTCTGGCAGGGTAGGTAGGCAACACTTAGACTTTGGCCGAGGACCACTACATGCTGTGGGAGGCGATAGCCTTGTTTGCGTTGAAGATGAGACCGAATTCCTGGAAATGGACTTCGAGCCAGACCCCTTATCAGAGTTGGAACTCGTTGGTGGGCCCCACGATATCAACATCTTGCCGCAGGATAATTTGTTGTTAATGCAACGCGACTATAGCCAAATGACCAGCATAGGTGGAGCTACCCAGGAAGGGCAGTTGCACAGCTCGCCCATAGATGATTTTCCGCAGAAGGATCTAATGCAGCATCAAAAGCTGCGCCTTAGTAAGAAGTTCGCCCGCATTAGCTTGAATTTAGATAAAATCAAAGACGTAGGTCTTGGTGGAAGTGGCATGGATACAGACTTAAATGAGGTTATAATTGTTGGCGCGGAAAAGCAGGTTAAATCCTCCGGAAGCTTTCGGTCGGTGAAGTCTTCTCAGGCTCATTCGTTGCCCAACACATTGTGCACAGGCTCAAATTTTATGCGCAGTACTAGTGTCCCTAGCGAACATCCAGAGCCTAAGATGACTGGTGCTAAGCCAAAGCGTTTTTTGCATACCTCGTCTGTGATGACTAAAAGCTCGTCATACAAGTCGCGGCGCTCTCACCCATCGACTAGCTTTGACGAACGTTGCTACAGCTGCACTGATTTCCGGGCAACGTCATGCCAGCAGCAACTGTCAGGGTCGGGGACAAAGCAAGATCAAGTGGCTTCTGCAACTGTTGGGGCCTTGACCACGACTTCTTCGTGCACGGAGCAATTTGACCTAGGAACTAAAGAGGAGAGCTGCTTAGACTGTCTAGAAAAGGAGTTCTTGGCCGACACCATCGGCAAAGCCCTAGACCCGGGCACATGTCCTAAGTGTCGTAGATCAGCTGGCAGTAGCATTTCGATTTACTCGCGGTCGGACCAAGTGCGCTGTCAAAGCGGGTCCCCAGTATATTTTGATGGGGGTCCGTTCGCCGGCTGGATCAGCTTATTAACAACCGGAATTGTTTCTGGTTCCAATTTGGGTCCACCCTGCAACCAAAGATTTCTTTCGTGTGATAATAGTTTCAACGGTCTACAGGTGTGTATACGCGTGCTGCATTAGTTGTGAATAGTGCAATTACCCACTCTCGAAATAGCTCCCCAATCCAGGCTATCTGACTGAGCCACTGGTGGCAAGTCTGTCTACAGGAAAGACGTGCAACGAGGAGCATCTAGTGCAAGCGCTAGATAAACTACGCGTGCCCTATGACAGGGAGCTACTTCATGGCTATTTCAAGCAATTGGACAAGCGGCGACAGACAGTCAGCAGAGTCAATCTTAAGCAGCTATTGATACAGGCCTCAAAGCAGCAGGGAAACCATCCCAAGCTCAAACGGCTGATCGAGATGGCGACCCACCAACAGCTCATTGTCCAATTTAAAAGGGTAAAATAACATACATGTCTTATACACTTTTTTAAACTAATGGAACACATTTTTCCAACAGAACGCCGGAGTCAAAACTGAATTGGTGCCTATAAATGTGAGGGACATACTTAATGCGTGGTCACGTTGTCGAGATCTTTCCCTCCTTCAGCAACTAGATGGTCGCTTTCATTGCGCAAACGTGATAGGTAAGGTGTTTTCTACAGTGGTTAGCAGCTTATTTCGATTTGAATTATTTCGAAAATTGAAATTGATTATTTTAACTAAGAATATTTACACATTCAAGAAACCAAAACACTTTTGAGGTAGTTTTTCTTGAAAATCCTTCTCTTCCTTATTGCCATGTTCAATTTTTCCCATACATTATCGATCACATTTAAGTCTTGGCACTGTGCTTCGTAATGACTACGTCAGGGAAGTTTCAGACGAGCCAAGTTTTTATAATTGCTGCTGAATGATTGTGATCGTTATCCTAGTAATACCGGGAACAATCTCGAATGCCCAGTTTTACTGCAGTTTGCAACAGCTTTTCTTTTAGAGTAGATTCGATTTTGGCATCCATTATCCCATTATTAAAAATTTTTTAATTTGGCAAACGACAGCATTTCTGCATTAACCAGCTGATTTCTTCGACTTTTAAAGTGCTGGTCAATAGTTGTCCTAAGTGACATTTCGTTGATCTTTCTATTGAAGGGTGATTAAGGTTGGAAGTATTAGTAGATAAGTATATAAAATGGTGATGCAACAAAAATAATCAATAATTTGTTTGGCACAATTTATTGATATAAACATACTGCAAGTAAAAAGGTTCGGCATTTTAAAAAGATAATTGTTTTGTCGGTTTTAAACTTTTTGTTGTATTAAATCAATTTAAAAAATCTTTTTTTTTTTTTTTTAATTCTATAAGTGTATTTGTTTACATTTTTTATTTACATTTGTTCCAAACCAACGAAACCAGGCAGTAACGATTCAAACTTTTATTTTTTAACTGCACGAAATAAGCTGCGATCTAATGTATGTATATTATATGTAAGTGAACGGTTTTCCTGAATTTCTGAAAGTTTGTCCCAAAGTCTCTTCTTTCTAAAATATGTAGTCAGATGTAAGAATCCTATGAGTTTTGGAATGCTTTATGTAAGATTGGTCAGCGTATAACAGATGTGGAATGTGCTTTCCGTCCTCTACTTATCAATCCAGTCATTGTGAAAAATTTATTCCCAAATGTTTGAATAAAAAAAAACATTTTTTTTTCTATATTACAATATTCATATACTTGCTGCAAATTGATTTTAATTTTTTATAGCCTTTACTCGTAGAATAAATCTTTATACTAGATTCGTTAAAAAGTACGTAACAGGTAGAAGGAAGCGTTTCCGACCATATATATTATTATTGAGGTTCATTAAGCAAGTCCATAATTTTGAAAGTTTAAATTTAACAAGCTGATTCTTTTGACTTGAACGAGATTATTTCAGCACTTCAGTACTAACGCCCACCAAGCGCCCAAAACAGTCACGCCCAAACTTTTTTAAAAAAATGTGGTGATTTTATTTAATTATTTGTCTAGCCAATTTCACAAAATCCGTAATAAAAAAACCGTCAGGACCAAGCATTTGAAAAATGTTTTTTTGTTGTTGACAATTTCTATTGAGTTTTGTAGCATAAACTTATCGGGGAAAGAAAGTTTAAGAAAGATTTCCAAGAAATCGACTGTCTTTTCTTGGTTTCAATTATTTTCTTAAAGATCTATAACACATACTCAACTGTGACATTTCTTGTCACTAGAACTTACAATCAGCTTTCAAAAATGCTTCATAAATGGCTCTAATTGTAAGCAAATGACTTTGTAGTGTTAACCCAAAACGTGTTAACCCAAAACAAGTGACTTACATTCTATGTGAGTGTACTTTGGACAGAGTAACATGTGTTGACGATCTCGGTGTTCTTTTGAACCCAATACTTCAAGTTTACAATCAAATTTCGTCCATAGTTAATAAAGCCAGGTGGTTTCATAAAAATGTGGTTAAAGGAATTTTATTATACTTACACAACAAAAAAGGACCACCTGCTTGGAGTCTGCAATATGGAGTTATAATATTTCCTTCTATTCCAGTACAGTACTGTTAATTAACCTACCGTCCCTAGCCAACCGTAGAACAATGCTTAAGGCATTCTTTATTTGTAATTTTATTCCTTGTGTAGTTGATAGGGACGACTTGGTAAGTCGGTTGAATTTTTCTGTGCCAAGTAAAAAACCAATATTTACCAATACTTCACCAATTACCATTTTAAATCACTGGATCTAACTATAAGTTGCATGACCCCTACAGAGAACTATGTTTTGACTAAATTAACAACATAACGTTCTGCTAATCTTAAATCACCGTAAATCTTACTATGAGTTCTCTCCTACTTATCTCAAATCTCGAATGGTGCCGTTTGCACCGACGGCAGCACCCCTCGGTCGGGTGGCGGGAAAAAAAACAATAACAGAGGGATACATCAGTTGTATGACACTATAAAATTTTGGATTTATTTACTTGGATCAAAGTCGAACGACTAAATGAGAACGCTATAGTCGATTTCCTTGAATTTTAGATTAGACATCAGTTTTTTACGGATTTTGTGAAATTTTTAAAAGTTTGAGCGAGAAAGTTTTGGGCGCTATGTGGGCGTTAGTACAGATGTGCTAACTAACTTGTGCAAGTCCCAAGATTCAGCTTGTTCAATCTTAACTTTCTAGGTTTACAAGATATAAACAAAATTTTAAACAATATCACATTTTTCAAAAGTGAAAGCGTGACAGTTTTGGACTGTTTACGGGCGTGTAAAAAATTTTTTCGGAAAATCGATAGAAATTTAAAAGACACAACAAATTACAAAACATCAATATTTTTTAAGTGTGGGCGTGGCAGTTTTTGGGTGGTTTGTGGGCGTTATAGTGGGAAGAAGATCAAGAATGTATTCCAGTATTCCACTTTATATGGTCGGAAACGCTTTCTTCTGTTGCATACTTTTCAACGAATCTAGTATACCCTCTTACTCCACGAGTAACGGGTATAATTATTTCAAATTATATTGAATTGTTTTATTACAAAATTACATTATTTTTTCAGGAAAGGTTGGTCACATCGTTCGTCAGGCAACAGTAGCAGCATCCACACCAGCACAAGCTGCGTCGTCAACCTCATTTTGTAAACGCACCCTGCCTGAATATTTAATGGTCCCTCAGTATTACATGAGTGGGGTGCTGACCCTAACCCGAAAATGTTAGGACGTACTTGCACAACAACTTAATTATTTTCACACAAAACCGGATACACATCATGCTCAGCCCAGTTTTATTGTTTAATTTTTTGAGATAAGTCATCTTCCATATTAAATAAGGTGATCGCATGGCCGTGACCCACCGTTTAAGTCGGGTTACCACCAGTCTCTCCACTCTAAAAAAAAATAAATAAAGAATCTCGAAGTGTGTGTTTAAATCTAAAATATTTTAACCATGTTTGCCATAATACAAATTAACACAAACACAAATATAATTGCCTTGCCTACCAACGCCTTACATTATATGTCTACGGATGTAATAAAAATGTATTTTCATACCCGTTACTCGTAGAGTAAAGGGGTATTCTTGATTCGTTGAAAAGTACGTTACAGGCAAAAGGAAGCGTTTCCGGCCATATAAAGTATATATATTCTTGATCAGCATCAATAGCCGAGTCGTTCCGTCAATCTGTCCGTATGAACGCCTCGATCCCAGGAACTACAAAAGCTGGAATGTTACTTACATGCTTACATGCAGCATAAACGCAGCGCAAGTTTGTTTCCAAATGTTGTCACGCCCACTCTAACTCCCACAAACCGCACAAAACTGCGACGCCCGCACTTTTGAAAAGTGTTTCAATATTTTTTTTATTAGTCTTGTAAATTTCTACCGATTTGCCAAAACTGTCAAGCCCATACTTTTGAAAAAATTTTAAATTTAGGTTTTTTTTTTTTCTCGCAATTTTCAGAAAATTATGAAATTATCGTTTGAACTTCCACTAGCTGACTAACGGGTATCTGATAGTCGGGGAACTCGACTATAGCATTCTATCTTGTTTCTTATATGTATGATTTAACAAAAGCATCCCAGTTGGAAGTGGAATTATTCCGGAACACGTTCTCTCATAACTTATTTTCGAGTGGAAGGTGTTCAACGCTGAACTAAAAATTTTATCAAACAAATTTAAACGCAACATGTTTCTTGTATGCTTCAAGATATTATTTACTAACTTATTTTATTTTTAATTAATTTGATAGTATTATTTTAATAATTAATAATGAAAATGTTCCTCAAATCAATGCAACAGCTTATTTCAACCAGTTTGTAAAATTGGTATTTTTTCCTAAGCTTAAAACTATAACATTTTTTTTTAAATGTTGTGTGACCTCCTTTGTTGTCAACAACCTTTTTAAGCCCTTCTGGCGTGATTTTAGCCCATTCCTCTACCAAAGCGCGAGCTTGTATTAAAACGTTTTAAAAATGGACATTTGCGGAGGAAAATTGCAGGAATGATTTCGCTGAGTGATTCTACAGTCCAAAGCATCATTTATCGTTTCGTCCAAGAAAATAGAGTGCAAGACAAGGGAAGGAATGTTCCCAACAAAGTTTTTAATCAAACGGACGAGCGCCATATCGTCCGGAAAATACGCGAAAATCCCATATTGGCTACAAAAATTGGCAACGAAATAGAAGCCGAGTTAGGAAAGTCTTGCCACCCGGAAACAACTCGGCGTGTCCTCCGTGAGCATGATTCAAATGGTAGAATTGCACGGAAGAAACCATTTATAAGTGCTAAAAACATGAAGGCACGTCTAAAATTTGCTAAACAAGGATTCAGCTTTTTGGAACACAATTGTATTCGCTGATAAGACCAAGTTCAATATTTTTGGCTAAGATGGAGCATCATAGGTGTGGCGAAAGCCAAATACAGAGCTGCAAGCCAAAAATTTAAAAGCCACAGTCAAGCACGGCGGTGACAGCGTCATGGTTTGTGCCTGTATGTCGGCAGCTGGAGTTGGGAAGCTTGAATTTATTGAGACAACGATGGATAAAATGCGATACATCGATATTTTGAAGTCAAATGTAGTGGATAGTGCGGAAAAACTGGCCATACGAGACAATTTTCGCTTTTATCAAGACAATGACCCAAAACATAAGTCGGATGTTGTGCAAACCTGGCTAGTTTGGAATTGTCCCCATATAATGGAGACAATCCACAGCACAGTCGCCAGACATCAATGTTATAGAAAATTTGTGGGCAATTTTGGATACAAACGTCTGGAACGCCAAATTTCCAATAAATCTGTCCTAAAAGTAGCTTTGGTAGAGAATTGGGCTAAAATCACCTCAGAACTCACCAAAAATTAGTGGGCTCGATGCCGATAAGGCTTAATATGGTTGTTGACAACAAAAAAAAATTTTTTTTTAATTTAATAGTTTTAAGCATAAGATCATATACTAATGTTACAAGCTGGTTAAATAAGCTGCTGCAATGTTTTGAGGTACAGTTTTATTATTAATTCTTAAAAAAAATACTATCAAAATAAGCTGTGAGCCACTGCATATACTTACTATATATGTATACTTACTGTATCCAGAAACAATTCAAAAACTTCTATTGAGTGCTTTCCAATGTATTCTAAAGAAGAGGAAGTGTTCCCAAAAAATGCACAAAGTCCCATAATAATTATTTAATTTTTTATTTTATTTAACTAAGTCTGTAAAATTTATCCAATTAATATCCGCGTAGATTTATCCTGGTAAAAGAGAGCACAATATTTGTGCTAAAAATTGTGCTAAATTTAACATTTGTAATATGTTAACATATAAAAATATTACAGTTAAATGCTGTTAATGGAGAAAAATATTAAAAATAATGGAAAAGAAACGAAAAACGCGTAATTAAATTAAAATATTTATACATATTATTTATAAAGTGGTACTTACATACAAAATACAAACCGAAATCTAAAAGCCGTTCTTAAATTTCTAAGGCACCAGAAAACACTGTTATTCTTGACGATTCAAAATTGAACGTGCATCCGAACAAGAAATGCATAAAACGAATAAAGCATAAAAAGTGCTTCGTATTTCTTTGCTTCTATCGTTTTCGTTATTTGGCTTTATAAGTATCGTTTGTTTAATACGTACTGGCCCTTCTTACTATAGCGGTCAAAAATATAGCGTTAGGCAACATAAGAAAACATACACTACACACTTTTACAGAAAATATTTCATATATACAATAAATACAATTGTATTTTTTTAAATATGCATATGTACGATGCATGTTCGTAATTATTATTATTATTCACAATTTTAAAAAGAGGACATTGTAAAAAAAATATAATTGAAAAATATGATGATATTTCTGCAGAAACTGAAACATACGAAGACATTTTCTGGTATTTCTGCAGAAACTGAAACATCTACATGCATTATAGTAGAACACTATACGAAGACTTTTTCCGGAAGCTTCTTTGTTATGGAAGTTTATATATATTATATATATTTATATTTATATTCTTTTTGCTCCTTAAGAGCAAAAACAGACCTAATAATGTGATATATGTATTATATATATATTAAAAAATTTTAGTCTCCTCTACCAGGATAAATCAACAACAGCACACGAATTTATACAGACTTATTGTTTATTTAATAAACAGGGACTTTGTTATATTTTTTGGGAACGTAGTTAGAATACATTCGAAGGTCTTATGAAAGTAAATATAAACATTCTGAATTACTTGTTACGGAAAACATCTAGAAGACTTTCGGAGAATGCTTACAGAAGAGAAATGTATTCAGTTCACGGAGTGCTTACAGATGCGTTGCGCGGGAAGGTTTACAGAGTGATTGTTCAAGAAGTAAGAAAGATAGTCTCACGCCTGTCAAAATGGAATAGTAACTTTCTACTTTGTGGAACACATTCCACTGGAAAAAGAATTATGAATAATTCCACTTCCGACTGAAGTGTTGTCTCCAGAAAATCACCCAATAACTTGGATCTTCAAAACAATCCAGGTCAACGAAAAATATTACGCTACGAATGAGCGGGAGCTCCTAGCCTTAAGAACCTTACGGTCTTCAGCCTTTAACGTATGCAGTATCCGATAAAAAATACGAAGTCCCTAATAAAGCGATGGAAATCTTCTATTAATGACCACTACGTAAATATTTTCTTTAAGCCAGGCAACCAAAATATCCTTTATTGGACAACTCCGAATCTGACATCGCCACCATTTATAGCGAAGGTTTTCTCATGTACACTAAAGAGGCAGTAACCTTTTAATTGTTTACGTAATCAGATAATCATTGAAGAAGCACGCAAACCTTTTATTTTGTCAAAGAAAAAGCGAGTCATATTATTCGTGAGTCTGATTGCGAAAGTCCTATACAACACGAATAGATAATAATAATAACCAAAGCAGATGTCGTTAATGCTATACATTGCGAACCGCAATTCTTTCTTTTATTCAGCATAAACGGAACAGCGGAATTAGTCGACGACTGTCTGCTCCACATAAACCACAACAAAACGGCGTGGCTGAGCGGCAGAACCGTACACTGGATAGAAATGGCCAGGTGTATGATGAAACAGGCGGGGGCTCCTCCGTCATTTTGGGCAGAAGCTATTACCACGGCTTGCTAACTGCGAAACAGATGCCCAACAAAGGCTGTATTTGGGGAGCTACCGTACACCTATTGGTAAAATTCCGTACAGGTAAAATTCCAACGGTAATGTAATTACGCACATTTGGGACAAAGGCACCAGATCAGAGGATATGCTGCTGAACGGCGTATTGCCTATACTCTCCTCAGAGAAAATCTATTATGGTCAGTAACGATGTAAAGTTTTTGAATACATCAGGATTTAAGTAATTACGAAGAATTACGAGCCTGAAGGAGATTTATACAAATTCCACACCGGACGAATGAGTTGAATCCTCAGCAGTAGCGACGTCGAAGAAGAGACTCCTGTTGTGGAGAGACGGGCAGAGGGCGCCCAAAATTGATGAGACGGTTCTCAGACCGGGTGGAAGGACACGTATGTGATCCTGTGAGGAATGTGAGAAAGCATTCTTAGCTGTGCCAGGGGATTCTTTAACTTTGGCAGAAGCAGACTCGAAGGAGTCAGTTAATTGGACACCCGCAGTAGATGACGAGTTTATGGCCCAAGTTCTCAACAAAACTTGGGAGGTTACAAAACGCCCGGAAAATTCGAAAACTATTGGAAACAAGGTGGTATTCCAAACGAAAAAATAAGGCAGCGCCTTGGGAAAAAGGAGAGCTCGCTTTGTTGCCAAGGGATATGTTCAGAAACCTGGAGAAGATTTTTTTAAATCCTACTCACCTGTAGCGCGATTTACGTCAGTGCGACTGTTGATTGCTTTATCGGCGGAATTTCAAATGGAAATTCATCAAATGAACGTCGTCACCGCCTACCTCAACGGTGAGATGGAGGAGCAGGTATTTATGAATATACTTGAGAGTTTTACCGTTTATATAGCAAAACTGGAATCGGGCGCAAAAATGGTGTCGAA